GGGTGAGGGAGTGGGTGAGTGAGTGGGTGAGTGAGTGGGTGAGTGAGTGGGTGAGTGAGTGGGTGGGTGAGTGGGTGGGTGAGTGGGTGGGTGAGTGAGTGGGTGAGTGAGTGGGTGAGTGAGTGGGTGAGTGATGGTCAAACTGCTGTCTAAGTCTAAGTGAGTATGTAGAGAAGACAGAGTCAGGCTTTGTACGAGCTGTTCTAGACAAAGATGCAGGAGAACCTCTTCCATGACCATCTGTACATGGACCCATGTTGAACGGCTACAGTTTGGTGTCTTTTTACACGGATGCTGGTCCAATATGACATTCAAATGCGTATATTTGTCATTTTTGTTCAGGTGGTCTTCAACCGTAACAAAATGCTCAATATTTCCACTGGTGGTCACTCTACTGTACAAACAAACGAAGCACAGACTGCAAGGTCTGCAGTGTCAGAAGTAGAGATGCTGGATCGTTGATATCCAGTTTGATCAGGCACCTGGAACCTCTCCTGCAGAGGTCACTTACTTTAGCACATGTTGCACATGTTGCATATTTATTTGCTATGAAAGCCATTGTAAAAAGAGGTCCATAACTGTTGTTATTTGCTATGAAAGCCATAGTAAAAAGAGGTCCATAACTGTTGTCAAATCCCATTATAGGGAATATTTTAAAGGCCACAATCCAGACCTGCAGGGGGCAACCACGTGCAGAGAGGGGTGGAACCCAAGCTAGGAACTCTAGTTGCTAGAGGGACCTGGTTAACCTGCGCACCCAGGGGAAGCAGAGCTGTGAAATGTTTGTAGGAAGCTCAGTAGGCTCCCTCACCTGCTCCTAAAGGGAAGACATGGCCACAGCTCCTGGTCTTTTTAAAGACACAACTGGTAGAAATAGGTGAGTTGGCTTTGCCATTTTCTGGGTCCATTAGAGACAGGAAATTAAAGCTGGGTTTAAGGTGCTGAGGTATGACTTAGGAGAACCAGTAACCATCTGTGTTCTGCTGCCACCACTGGCTAACGTTAAACATAGAACACACACACACACACAGACTGATGGCTCACAGGTAGGTTAGGGTTAACTGTTGACCACATTAATGTGATTCATGTTCATCAGGTGACCATTACACTGTGTTTGAGTGAAATGTCATTACAGACCCAGGGTAATTGAACAATAGAGAAGCACAATACAAATGTTTAACTCTTTGGTCAGGTTTACCAGGTTCATTGTTATTTTCAGCTGGTGACTGCAGCATGCTGTACCAGCACCTGGTCCATAAACGGCGTTTGGGCCCAAACGTTTACACAATACAAGGGGTGTTTTTCATATTTATTTTATATTCCTTTAACTTACATATGGTAGTTGTTTATACTTGTAATTATAATTGTATCCCATTATATAATATATTTGCAGCATTTTCCTCTCTTGAATTGTAGGTGCAGTCGTTACACAGGCAGCATCAATAATAAAGTATTTAACAATACAATTGTAATAATATAAAAAAGTCCCTTATTGGTCCCACGTCCAATGCAACTCACATGGGTTGACAAGGGAGGAGCAACTGAGAATGTGGTTCCTCTGGGGCTTAAACCCAAAACCCTCTGCTAGTAAGGCAGGCATGATAACCACTACCCTGTGTAACCCAAGCCTGAATGTGGCGTCTTTGTGAGCTCAAACAGCCGCGCTAAAAGATTGAGCCATAGATGAAAAACAAAAAAAAAGGAATGCTCCTGGAATTTGTGTGTTTGATTCATTTCACCTACACAAACACTCAACTGATTGACTCTCTGTTGTCTTTTGTGCCATTGCCCTCAGGAAAAGCCAATTTATAACGTGGGTTGGGTCAGTTTTGGAAATCACTGAGGAACTTTAAAGCAGAAGCAAAACCCAACAGGCAAGTATCATGTTATTTAGATTTGTGTGAAATTGGCAGTTGTGGGACAGAACACAACACACTTCACAAAGTTAGCACAGACATACTGTACATACACACATATTTATATATATATATTTATATATGTGTGTGTGTGTGTGTGTACATATATAGACTGCTGCCCACACCACCAATTCATTGACATGTTTCCTCTCACCCACACATGACAACATCCAAGTTGAATTGTGAAACTGCAGATTTCACTTTCTATCAAAGGTATTAATGGACAAGAACCTCTTCACACTTCCCAGCTCAGGTTTAACGCTGTTTAAAGGTGATTTATTTATTCTTACTTATTTCAACATTTTACAGCAATCTTTCTGTAACGTAAACATCCTCTTCACCAACTGCAGGTAATGTTGAGAGGATGCTGGCACAGGGACCAGAGGGCAGTGACTCCTGGACAGCGTCCTGTGACACCGTCAAAACCACCTTTCAAGTACTTTTACATTTGTTTTTGAACAAATGTTCAGAATGATCTTCTGATTTTCTAAACCAGAAAAACTTCCACCTATTCCATGGCATTACCTCATTCTTAGAACATAGAACAATGAAATTGAACTGCACATATCTAGGACTAGCAGCTAACACACACACACACACACTACTGTTTACAAAAACACATGTTCTGTGGTTCATAACAACCAACAAGGTTTCACTGAATACACTGATGTTTTTATGCCACACAGAGAGGAGCTGGATGGTTAGCCTCTGGTGGTAGTTAGCTGTTATTAAACTCACAAACAGCATATCCAATTACACTGGCTTTAATTTGAAATAAACCAATTATGACTGTTAATAATCTGAATATAAAGAACCAATCAGTTCAAAGATATTTGAAATCCTACTGATTGCGTTTTACAAAAGCACAGAAAGGAAACAACAATTTAATCTAGAAAATAATAACGACGTGTCTGTGATTCATTATCAAAATTACAGACACTAGAGAGCCACACAGAACCGAACTGTGAGATCGTAGAACCCCCGATAATGATGTCCTGATGAAGACACACTTGGTCAGTCACTTAAAGTTGTTTCTAGCTAACTGACGGAGCTGGATTACGGCTCATAAACTTTACTTTGTTTTCACTAATATAAAGGAGAGTGTTGTCTAAATGATCCATTAACATCAGTGGTACGATCAGATGAGTTCACCTTATCTTTGGTTCGAGTGGTCAATTTCAAGTATCCAAAAGGCCGAAAAAACAGGAATGAGATCTTTGTGTCTACGGCCGTTTGCAGGCTCGGCTGAGGTGACACTAACTGAATACATACGTACCTAACAATTCATGTAACTAGCCTTAGCTCACCGGCAGACGATTGACAAGAGGCACAATACCACATGGGTGTCGTCATGTAGACCTGGTGCTGCAGCATATGTGAAAACATACAGTAAACTGGTGGAGTAGCAGGACTAGCAGCACAGTGCTAACCACAACAAGTTACACCCGGCTAATGTCTGCTGCTCGACCAGGGTGAGCTGCTGAAAAGGTAGTTAGCTTTGTTAGCTTAGCATCAGAAACCAGGCTCCTGAGGGGCCAGATTTGCTAATACAAGCACAATAACATCGAACTGATAACTCACCCCTTGTATTTGGCGTTTACTGACCGCGTGTGTCCTCTCCGAATACAGTTGATCCAAAGATTACCGGAGTCACAGGAAGTGTTTGATGGCGGTTAGCAGTCTGATACTGGCTCGGCTATTGAACGGGCGAACACCGCTGTCATTCGCTGTCATCACGAGACTTCCGTACCACGCATGCGCGACGTTCAATTAAAGGGACACTATATTCGCGGTATTTTAGTTGTATGTATGTATTTATACCAAGACCCTTATTTGTATTGTACTTTAAAATTTGAACATTTTTGTATGGATCCTAAATTTACCGGCAAATTAATCATTAAAAGGATCAGTCTTTAAAAATGCCCTAAATAATTAAAAATCCATCATTTTAAATACAATGGTACATTTTGTAGATACAACAAATCCTTCTTTACAAATAAAAATGTTAGTTTTCTGACTAAATTGTGTACATTGTGTTTTTAGTCATTTAGCTCTTTGTGTTAAATGCATTCAAACAGTGTCTGTAGAAACAGTAAAAATGAATTATAAATTATTTTATATACGTCTTTCTATTCGTGTACTTTTTATTAGAATAAACGAGTAGAAAGCATGTTACGTTTGTACTATTTTAAAATGGATAACGCTCTACATACAGACAGCCAACCGGAATAAGACAGGAATAGTTTACGTAATACCCCGTTAGGTGGCAGTATGGTTCCATTACAAAAGAGACCGATCGTGTAGCGTAATTACATCATTATTCTAAGTAAAGAAATCGTTTGTCAACAATGAAAAACTGAAAATTGGTTGGAGGATAACGATATCACTGAAAAATTGGTTGGAGGATAACGATACAACGATGTTTCCACTTCCCATTGATGTTTTATCAACCCTTCAATCCTTAATCAAATAATCCGATCATTTGTCTCCCTGTTGGAGGAGAACGACAGCTGAGTCTACAGACTGCTTTGTTTCTCCAACATGGACAAATACTGGACTTGTCTGTGCTGTACTGGAGAATGTTCAGTGAGTTGTTCAGTGGAACATTCCCATTAGGTTTGGATCAGTCACTTTGTTTTTAAATACATGGGTTATATGTGTTTGTTCTCTCTCTCTCTCTCTCTCTCTCTCTCTCATCACCTCAGATAATATTTGGTATAAAAAAGTACAACTTGCCCACACCAGATGTCTTTTCCGTATGTGAAGTGTGATTTTTAGACCAAACCTGTTTTTGAAGAGCTGTTCTCAGAGTTTTTCCAGATGATGCAGAAAAGCTCAGAGCTGCTGTGAATTTGACCCAAATGAAAGTGTTGTTACAAATGTTTTATGGCTTTGTTCAAAATCCACTTTAGTTTTCTACTAAAACAAAACAAACACAGGCCTCCTGTTAAATCCCATTTATTATATATTTAGTGTGTATATATTTAGTGCTATAAACATCACAAAATAGAAAGGTCTTGCACACAGATACTTCAAATATATATATTGAGTAAAAGAGCAACCTTAGATGACTCTACGTTGGCAACAGAAGCAGGCGTACTGTGGTTCTAGTGCTGCAGCTATGTTAGGAACGTTCCGTGGTATCATTGATGCTGTAGTGCAAAGACGGTGCAGCTTCAGCGAATTATTCAATATCAGTAATAAAACACACTTTTACTACAGAACTGCTAAGGTTGCTCTTTTATTGCATAATGTTTAAGGACATACTATGTTATTAATTACAATAAATCTCAAATTTCCTATTATTAAATATATATTATATATCTGTACCATTTTAAGCTTCAAATTGATTCCTATTACTTCACATAATAAAACTAATTGTAACAATAATAAAGAATCTGAATATAAATGACATGCTTTGAGTAAAATAATCTTTTTTTTTTTACAGTGGTGCTTGAAATTCAAGTCAGATGTCAGGGTTTTCTTTTTTATAAATAGCTAAATTTATACATTGCTTTGTGTCAAATGCATTTTTGTACTAAAGGCCACTGTCAAACATAGCAATACAGAGAAGAATGATGCCAAGTCTTATCATACCAACAAATATCTACCAACTAAATTCCCTAATGAGAATCAATGCAAAGTCAACAGCTTGTTTGATTGTACGTCTTGTCAACCTATAAAATAATAAGTAGTAGTGACATAGGCAAACAATAAAATAGCCACAAAACGTCTGTATTCCTAGGAAATTATCATTAAATACTGACTTAAACTTTTATAATATTGCAACCATCAAGGTATATAAAAATTTGAAATGGAACGTTTGCTGCACAAAATAAAAAGCGGGGGGGGGGGGGTTAATGAGAAGAGCAGCCTATTTCCATTCATTTATATTATGTGCTTCGAACACTGTCTGCAGCAACAGCACAGATCAAACAGTTCACATTTGAAACACCAGGAGAACTGGTTTTGTGCCAGGTCAACATGCAGAAATATTAAGTCTTCAAAGTGGAACAGAATCAGAACCAGCCAGAAACAACATAGAACTGTGAATACTTAGCGTTCTATATCCATGTGCAGCTATAGAGAGAAGAGGGCTGTGCAGGTTGGGGGGGGGGGGGGGGGTAGGGCAAATGATCTCTTGAGTAAGTCCGACAACAAAAACTGACTTTGAAACCTTCACACACACACAGTAGGGTGTGTGTGTGAAGGTTTTGGGACAAAGCGGTGATCTAGTTCAGAACGCAGTGCTTGGTTTTTCTCACTATAAAATGGAGAATAGTGCCTACTCCATATCAGACCTCATTCTCAGGTCCTGGTACGTTAAGACCAGCAAGGGTTTCTGCTTCAGAAAAAATACCAGATCATTTCTTAGGACTGAGAGAGTATTGTGCATGTAGCCTAGGACAGAGAAAGACATGGGGGGGGGCGGGGGGGGTATTAGCATGACACACATTTCTGTACCAATGATCAATTTACTAATGTGCACAATCTAGTTACATTATATACAACCATCATCGTGGTTCTATTTTTCTACTAGATTCTATATAATGTCGTCCAGGAGATTGGGTGTCCCCACCCAGTCCAGTGTCCTCGGCTCTGAGGCAGCCATGATCATGCACATGAACTGTTTCCCTGTTCTCTTATCAATGGGGTAAATGGTTGTAGGTGTGAACCTTTTGTTGCTCTCCACAAACTCACAGAGCTGATTATAGATTTTGGGGTACTCGTGACGAAGGAAGACTCCCCTGGTCCGGAGCTCACGCTGGATATTAACAAAGCACACCTCTCTAGCTTTTCGACCCTTGTCCCCGTCCTTGTCAATGTCTGGTGTTCCTGGAGGAGGTGTGAGGATGAGAGTCTCCATTTCACTGTCCTTCTTGAATATCTTTTTGTCAGGGCTCGAGGAGGCCAAAGAAACCTTTGCATATTTTCGAACGGTAGGTGTCTGGACTCTTGGTGAAGGTCTGTTGGGGACAAGTTCACCAACGGCTATAGATACATTCAGAAGGAAGCATTCATTTGGGTCGTACTCGTGACCTGCCTGCAGCAGCTCCTTACAGTATTCACCCAAGTTATCCTTGAAGCCATCCAGCTCCCTGAGAGATAAGTATGTGGGAGATATGAGGAGACTCTCCAGTCCAACTTGGAGAAAGTTGTCAGCTGTCTCTGGGTTAGCAAAACCCAGAAAGAGTATGCCTCTCCCTCTGGAGAGATAGCCAGCTTTAGCAACACGAGAGAAGGCTTTGTGGATCTGTGAGCTCTCTCTGCAGAATTTAAGAGTGTGCCTACACACACTGCTGACGCGACCGTACAGGCAGGTCTCTTTATGGGTCTCCCAGTCGTCCCTGCGGCAATTTCTGGAGCAGTAAAAGGTGTAGCAACTGTGACATGATTTGTAGTATAAGCAAGCATTAAACATACTCTCAGTCCTGTTGCACTTTTTGTTGGCGCACACCATAGTGTCATCTTCATCTGTGCTGTGGTCTGGAGAACATTCCTCTGCACTCCTTTGTAAAGCATCACACCCACTGTCAGGGTCCTTGTTTGTCTCAGGACTGGATTTGGAGGACAGAAGCTGTGTGTTGACACATCCTGAGTTTTCAAGTCCAGATGTCTCCGTGTTGTTATTGTCTTCAGTTATTAGCTGTTTAAGCTGATCAACAAGGTCTTCATTTGACTTCCGCACAACTGGGGGTTTGTAATCCACGACCAAATCTGCTAAGAGTTTGTCCAGCTGCTCCAGACTCTGCTGAAGGGAGAAGTTGTTATGTTTCTTGTCTTTGGTCCCGTTTGTGTCTTCAGATGGCTGCTTTTCCTGGAGAATTTTCACCGACGACGTCTTTTCATCACTTAGAGCATGGACAGAGTGCACATCACGGTGCTTGTTATTGGCTGCACATATGTCGTTGTCAGTTATGGTGATCTCAGGTGTTAAAAACCAGCTCGAACTTTTCATGTTCCTCCAGGGATTGCTGGAGCCCTGATCCAGTGAGTTATCAGAGACTGAGAGGGCAGCATAACGCCTCGGGGAGCTGGACAGGTTTAGTATAACCGGTTGTGTTGACGCATCCGTGGACGCTCCGTGCCTTGCTTGATAGAACAGGTTCTCGTAGCTTTGTCCACGAGGCACTGACTGGTTTCTATCAAATCGTGGATATCCAATGTTGTCCCACGACTTGGAGTGATTCTTTACATCTGCTCCCAGTCTGCATGTGTCCCCACAGCTGCTGTTGAACCAGGGGGGGGCACTCGGTTCTGGTCCCACTCTTGGTGGTGTGTGCAACGAGGACTGATTGGAGAAACCAGAAATACTGGAGTGATACCAGTCATCTGAAGTAGCCTGGGAGAATCGAGGGCGACGTCGACCCTCTGTGTGATACGGTCTTAATGTGAAGTAAGGGTCCTCTGGTGAGCTGAAAGGTTTTGAATAAAAAAACCTTGAGTTACCTGTAAGATACGGATTGTAGGTGCCTTCATCTCCATAATGAGGCCTTGACAGTGGAGTTTGAGACATGAACGAGCTCGCCTCACTTGTAGAGTGAGGTCTACTGTATACAGAATAGCCCACCTCTCGGGTGGAAGGGTGATCTGTGTAATAAGACTTGACAGGAAGTGTATGCACCCAACGACTTCTTGGATCGTACTGAAAAGACACTGTACTTCCGTGGCTGGTTAAACTGGACCTATCATCTTGAAAGTATGGTCTCGGACAGGAATGGACTGGATACCCTGCTGGGTCTTCAGTGTAGAAGAATTTGGTGGGTATGTTTGGATTGGAGTAAGCTCTTTGTTCTTGAGTCAGATACGGTACTTTTGGCGATGGTATTCTGTGCATGTCAAGATGCTGGTAAGAAATGGGAGACATGCTGGTTGCGTAGTAGTGACCTGGTCCAAAATCTCCACGATAGCATTCACTTGGAGTGGGCGTGGGTGAGGATATGACCTGCCGTGGTAGATACAAACCTCTACTGCTACTTGCTTGGGAGTATCTCTGTCGCTGATGCTCGGTCTGATGCTGTGGAACCTTCCTTGACGTGTGCTGCAGTACAGCAGCATCGGGTTTAATGTCCACACGGCACCTGACATGAGGCGTTGTTACCGGTTTCTCCAGTTTCTCCTCCTCAAAACAGTCCGAGACATAAAGGGGAGAGTTAGGCTGGAGCTTGATCGGATGCACCTCGTTCAAAAAAGCCCTGTTTGAGGTCAACAGTTCTTTGCTTGTTTCAGAAGTCCTTACGGAGTTTGTTACGGCCTGAGATACATCCTTCCCCTTCCTGGCTGCTGGTGGAGACACTGAGATAGGCACAGGAGTGAGGGTGGTCTTTACTCTTGGAGCACTTTTAGATCTGGTCCGTCTTCTGGAGTCAGACCAGGTGAGATTGTTATTTTTTCCATGGCTATTGTGCTGCTGGAGATGTTGGTTGTTAAACAAATCAGGAGATGAAAAGCGGAGATGTCCCTCTTGGTCCAGTCCATTCCACATTAGATCTTTGTCTAATGTTTGCTGCTCGGACCTCTTGTAGGGGTACCCCATAGTCGAAGAGAATGGTTGTGCATCATCTAGTGACTCGATGAAGTCAAAACTACGACAGTGTCTTTTGTTGATGATTTCTGGTTTGTCGATCATTTCTGACTCACATTGCTGGGAGGTGTGAGGAGAAACCAGGCGATCAGCGATGGTAATGTCCCGATACAGAGTTGATGCCAGTATATCTGGAGGTTGTGTCCGTGTCATCTTAGAGGGACTTCAGCCCTCTCCATGAGGACTGATCTAAGGTCAACACAGGCTGTGGAGACAGAGAGAGAGACAGCTGGCTGTGACTTTTCTTTACATGTTTAAAACAGGTGTCTTCAAAACAACGCCTCTGACAACACACAAAAGACTCCTATTCACACCGATGGTCAGTTCAGAGCACCACATATGTGGCCAAAAGACTCATACTCCAACAGTTGGAGTACCAGTACCAGTTGGAGTACCAGGGACTGGACCAGGGTTTTTGGGATGTGAGAGGAAGCTGGAGTACCAGGGACTGGACCAGGGACTGGACCAGGGACTGGACCACGGACTGGACCACGGACTGGACCAGGGACTGGACCAGGGATGACTCTTCTTCCTCTGAGTCAGAAGCACCAACAAAGACTTATATAACTTACATATATATATATATATATTCACATATACAGTATATATATATGTTTCCTACATGTTACCTCTATCACATGTACGAAGCTCAGATACAGATCATTGTTGACTGTGTCGTACACGTTAGCTCTCTGGTTGGCACTCTGCCACTACCTAACCCTGAGTTACCATCTGCTCTTCTTAATGAGATGAGACTGACCAGCCATCGTCCTGCAGTGTCTTCACCACACACACACACACATATGTAGTACCTCTGATTACACACTTCTGTCATAACCAGGTCTTCTGGTTTTCGTAGGATTTCTTGGTAAAATATTTTATGATAAATCATTATTATTTTTTATATTTTTGTACATAAAAAATTAAACGCGTAGTTTTCTTAGCTGAAATATTTTATGATAAATTATTATTTTTAATATTCTTGTACATAAAAAATTAAACGCGTAGTTTTCTTAGCTCTTAAATAGAGGAAGAATATTTAATTACACAACTGACCAATAGGTAAACGTTATAATCCAACTGTGTGGTAAACTTGGTGATGAGGTCACATGGTAGGCGTGTCCAGAGCAATGACCAGTTCACAGACGTGAGCTGAAGTTCATTTTTGTGAAAGATGAGCTGACCCTTTCCTTTCCTTCACTGTGTTCATTTTGGTTTGTCAGCAGATAAAAAGGCGCCGTCATCTCTACGCCGACGATACGCTGTTAGTGAAAAAGAGTCGTTTTGTACTTATTGGCCAGCAGGAGGAGCCCACAGACTGAATGAAGTTTGAACGGTGATAAATGAGTCATGTGACGTGTGTCACGTGACTTCACCAACTATAATGAACGGACCGTTGATCTATTGAACTACGCTGCGTCACCGTGTCTAACCCACTCCCCTTCGTCCACCAGAACTTTGACCTGTTGAAGAATATCTCTGTGGTGACCCCTGGAGGTGGATGATGCTGAGGTGGTGATGACCACAGCGCACAGAGACAGCTGAGGGCTAGGGTTTAGGAGAGGAGGTTAGAGGAGGTGTCGAGGAGTGAAACTCCCAGTGGTGGAGGCGAACCATGACATGAAGACGGTTGGTGTAACGGTGATGACGGTGGAAACTGAACTGAGCTAAAAACACAGCATTTAAAACAGAAACAGAAACAGAAACAGCAGAACAAGATTCAACTTGAAGCAGGAAACAGAAGATATTGGAAGTTTTCTTGAAAACAGTTTGATCAGAGTGAATGATATAACAACACACTCTTCCTTCCCAATGGTCTGAGGCTGTTTTACAGGGGGCTACAGCACAGCATGCCACATACTGTCTCCATGACTACAGCACAGCACAGGAACCATGAAACACTGTGCTGCAGCGAGCGCTTAACAAATCTGACAAACACACACTGCTCTGAAAATGACAAAACACAAGAGAAGTTGTTCCTTAGGACGGAGTGTGTGTGTTGGTGTGTGTTCAACACTGACAACAGTGTCTTGTTGTATATGACAGTGATACAGAGGCTGTTGTTGGACTGGATGACAAACACTGACAGTTTTATCAGTTTTCATTGGCTGGAACTATCACTGCTGAATGTATTCAAAGAAATGTTTGAAAAATTATTTAACTTCTTGTTGAATTTTGAGCCCAACAGTGAGATTAACCAAGTGAAACCAACACACAACACGACACGTCATGAAGTAAAGGTTGAGACGCTAGAACATACCACCAGTCAGCTACGAGCTAAATATACATCTATACATCGTTTCATATATGTGCACGACAGCGGTATGGAGCAGGGCTTACCATCACTACAGCCTGGAGGCTGCGCAGACGGAAATAAACGCGGTGCTGATTCACCTGAAGCCTCTCCGCCGGGGCCGAGTGGGGGCGCCTTCACTCCCGGAGCGTTACCACGCACTTACTCCGACGCCCTCGGTCCTTCTTTCATTTTGTTGCTGCGGAACTGTCTCCCCTTCAAACCCATCCTGCATCCATCCTTCTTGACTGACCCAGTGCCTTTGGGCAGCGGATGACATCATTCACAGGGCCGCAAAGTCCGGACGGATCTGGATCTGGATCTGGATGAAGATGACTTCGGCTAAGTTTGAAAATGGAAGATGCGGCGGATGACGGAGGATGGATGAGGCTGGGGTCTTACCGTCAGAGCGGAGAGCAGACGAGATGCTCGGACACGGAGCAGCAGCAGCAGTGGCAGCAGCAGCAGTGGCAGCAGCAGTGGCAGCAGCAGCAGTGGCAGCAGCAGCAGCACCTCCTGCTGAGAGCCTCCGTCCGTCTCACCTCCTTACATGTCACCCACAGATGCTGCCATACACACACGGCTGTGTGTGTGTGTGTGTGTGTGCCTGTGTGTGTGCCTGTGTGTGTGCCTGTGTGTGTTTCGGTATGTGTGCGTGTGTGTAGGGGGAGGCGCGGGGGGTCTGGAGGCGTGGTCGTGCGTGCTGTTGTGATGAGGGAGCAGAAAGGTGGAGGAGGAGGAGGAGGAGCCGGGTGATTTTAGAGGAGGAGGGTGTTCAACCAGAGCAGCACTGCGGTGTCTAATCTAATCTAATCTAATCTAAAATAATCTAAAATGATCTAATTTTATTTAAAATAATCGAATATAATCTAATCTAATTTAAAATAATCTAATCTAATCTAAAATAATCTAATCTAAAATGATCTAATCGAATCTAAAATAATCTAAAATAATAGAATTTAATCTAAAATAATCTAATCTAAAATAATAGAATTTAATCTAAAATAATCTAATCTAAAATAATCTAATCTAATTTAAAATAATGTAATGTAATATAATCTAATCTAAAATAATAGAATCTAATCTAAAATAATCTAATCTAAAATAATTTAATCTAATCTAATTTAATGTAATCTAATCTAATCTAATCTAATCTAATCTAATCTAATCTAACGTCCTCTTCCTCTGGACTGATCCCAGACCTGCAGTCCCTTCTACAGCCACGGTCCTCCATGTTGTACAGGAGATCCAAAGATGCTCAAACTGTGGAGGAGGGACCAGTGGTGGGCCACAAAATGTCCAAGATGTGGTCAGTGAAAACTTTCAGAGGTCACACTAAAACAGTCCCCCTGGTGGTCACTCAGGTCCAGTTCCAGCCCATGACCATGTGCCCCTCCCTGCCCTGTTCTTTGGTGGTATTTTCTGGTATTTTCNNGTTTTTTCTATGGCCCCCCCCCCCCCCCACTGCTCCCCCCGTCAGGACTTCACATCCTCATCACTGTTTGTAATTAAGTTAAAAGTCACTTCCTTTGTGTTTCTTCAAATCTCTCTGCATTTCTATATTGATGATGAGGGCAGTTGGCAGTTGGCCCCCAGTTGGCAGTTGGCCCCCAGTTGGCAGTTGGCCCCCAGTTGGCAGTTGGCCCCCGCCACAGTGAAGTGCTGACTGCAGCATTATGAAGGTAAAGAGGAATGACAACAGATGAAGTCTTCCATCCTTGGTTGTCACTGCGGCCACAGGGGGCAGTGTTAACCAAGCTGTCGGCCATGTTGATGACACATGATTGACAGGTAGGGCAGCAGCATCACAGCATGTTTGACTCAGCACTGACTCTTCATCACAGAGATGACTGGGAGTCATGTGTTGATGAGTTGAACTGTTCTTCTCCCACTGAAGGATTAGAACCTGAACCTCTAACTGTCAACTATGGTTTAACTAACTCACCTGTTCGGTCTTTTTAAGCTAATGTTGGGCTAACCTTTAGCTCAGAGGTCAACTGTCCCAACTTTTATGGTACTGAGAAAAAAACCTGCAAAACAACTATTTCATGTTCTTTTATTTAACTTGAAAACGTTTTTGTTATTCATTAATATATTGCTAAATATAAATATATTCATGTTTTAATATAATATGTATATGCTAAATATTGTATTTTTATTACATATTTGTCAAACTTTTAAAGCATTTCTGAACTTACCTTTCAGGTGACGTACACCGTGTTTCTTTATACAGTACATATATATACAGTATATATATATATATACTGTATATATATATATATGTACATATATACATATATACATATATACATATATACAGTATATATATATATATACAGTATGTATATATGTCTGTATAATATATGTATGTGTGTATATATAGTATATGTCTATATAACATATGTATGTATATATACAGTATATATATGTCTGTATAATATATGTATGTGTATATATATGTGTATATATAATATATGTATGTGTGTATATATAGTATATGTCTATATAATATATGTATGTATATATATATGTGTGTATATATGGGTGTGTATATATGTATATATGTATATATATATATATATATACAGTATATATATAGTACTGCTCTGGATCTCTAGAATAAAAAAACAATAAAATAAGTAAAAAAAAAACCCTATCAGTTTCATCAGAGAATTCTGTTTAATTTGTTTGCAGAAAAAAGAGCACGTTGTTATTTATGAGTAATGTTCATGAACAATTCCAAAAACATGAGTGTGGTATCCATGGTTACCCAGAGTGGGTAGTAGCAGGAGCAGTAATATGCAGCAGGAGTCGTCCGTGGAGACCATGTGAAAATATGACACCAGCTGAAGGCACCATCGTCAATTCATCTAAGACTAATACAAATATATATTCTACTAGCTTCACAAATGGTTTTTCAAGTATTTTACAAGTTCTTGGTAGACGTCTGTGTAGGTTCTCAGTCATCCAGGTCATTTAACCCAAACATAGTTACATCCAGGAAAACTGGACGAACGATGGGGCGAACGACGGGGCGAATGACGGGGCGAACAACGGGGAGAACGACAGGTGAACGACAGGTGAACGACGGGGCGAACGACGGGGCCAAATGTCTTTTAAAAGAAATTTAAAACATGAACCTCACTGTCTTTTATTTACCATTTAGTTGTATTTAATGGAAATAAAGAACGATTGTGATTGGCTGGTGCAGAAATCCAGATGCACCTGCACTGGTGGAGGTTTTTTTTTTCCTGTTAAATGGGTCAGTACTAGAAATATCCTGGCTCAGAGAAGGGCTCACGACTGCCTCTGTTCTTGAACACACCAGGACGGGGGCTGGCAGTAGGTTGTGAGTACTGGGTACTACAGTACAGACACAGTATCTGGTGTTTCCTTCAAGAACACAGGTTTCATGGTCTGTGTCAGTGTCTGTGTCTGTGTCTGCTCTCTGGGTCTGATCTTTTCTCTCCTGATGTACATTTATTTTTGTCATGCATTTGAATGGAT